CAATGCTTCCTAGCCCTTCAGTTCACGCTTCATCTGCTCTGTACACGACGAATTCCCACTAGGAGGTTCTTGTTGCAAAGTGGTTACTTCAGACACTCATGACCTAGCCGTGTGTGATTTTAATCACATCTTGTTGACTGTATCATTTTAAGATTTAGTTGAGACATTATTGATTTGATTTGCGAAAAGTGTCCTTTTGAATTGGGAGCGAAATACTGTGGTTCCATTCCGTGCAACTCACGGATAACCCTTTTTTCAACCCCCGGGGGGGGGGGTAACCGGTAGACCAATACAAAACGGCCCCCAAGGGATATTTTCTGTTTCAAATAACCTACTCATGAACAGTATAGAAATGAAAGCAATGTAATGAATGTATGCTGTATACTGGAATCTCAATAATAATAATAATAAAAATAAATAATAATAATAATAAGTAAATTAACAAGGGTAAAGTTGACTAATACGACCTAAGAATGTCTGGAAATCATCTGGAAAATTCTGCAGGGAATAGTCATACCACATGCGGTATCGCACCTCGTTAAAATGTTGCCATATCATATCTCCAACGTGGCCGTAAACAGTTTTCAGTCTCGGCTTTATATGGCTTCAAAAGGCCTCCACGTTTTTTGTATGCACACCGATATAGGGATTTATAAATCCACGCGAATGGTTAACCGTGCGGTGCAAGAAACCCAAGGATGTCAGTGATCCGTAGGCCACCCATTCATCCGAATAACTAGTGGTCCCCGGAGCTACCCACTTTTGAATAATTGGTATCAGGGTGGCCACTGAACGATCATCCGAACGTTGAAAATTTCCCTTCTTCAGGGACCGGTCATACATCCCAAAGACCGACACCGTTGGACGCGGCCTCCCTCTATGATACTTGCTGTGACTCACAACCGTTTCGTCGACTTCCACAATATCACCGACACCGCCCACTTGTGCGGTGAGAGAGCATAACATCGATGAATAAATATCTCTGCAGAACGTGTACCACTGTATAGCAGTCTTATCGGAAACGTTTGCCATTATCGCAGTACGAGTTACCGATTCTTCCATAATAAAATAAAGAATTACTTCCAACAGAGAATCCAACGGAAGATTGGAACACTCAAAAATGTGTCACACCGAATACGACGACGTTTCTTACATCTAGTGCATCGAAAAACGAAGCCATCGCTGCAATCTCCTGTAAATTCATCCCATGTCCACAAAAACAGGTACGGGATGATGAGATCAACTGTCTGTCCTGCATATATTTCAGAGCAGACGAACCTTCAAAACTACAGAGTAGTTTTCTTAACGGGGAACCACCAGACGTGGCTTCAAGGTCATGAATTAAAACGAACCCCGCAAAAATTAGCTTTTGACATAAACTGCATACAGACGTCTATATATAATAAAATCAATCGTAAACCATTAATGAATCATCAAACGCTGAAAAACTTTAAAAAGGTTCTAAATCAGAAAGTTATGCAAGGGGGCTGTTTTGTATTGGTCCGCCCGGTAATCTGTCTTCCCACTTACTTGCTATATGGAACTGAGTCGTGCATTTTGTCGAGCTCGCCGAACGACGTGGATTCGGTGAATCGGTGAAGCCATGCGATTTGCGCGTGACAGCTAAATTAGATCCGA